CTTCATATTGGTCTGCTCAATAATTCTGACCCATGACTGGCTCATCATCTGTCCCCAGTCAGAACTCCATGCATTCTGGGTGCTGTCTTGCTAAAAAGGGGCAACTCCCCATCCCCATCCTGGCCTGCCCTTCATAAAGGGTCTGGATACATCCATCTTCGTACTCCTGTCATGTGAGTTAGCCCACTATGTCTCTGTGATCCCAGTGAGGTTGTAGCCCTGTAACTGCACACCGACTTCCAATTCCTCCTGTTTTCCCCCATACTATGTGCGTTATTGTAGAGGCATTTCAGAGAGGCACTCAAAAAGGCCATGAGGGCTTTCTCTATAAGGCTGCTGTTCCATGGGCACTTCCTTACTTGGATTCTAGGGCTTGAGGTGATTCCACTTCAGCCCTATTTTGTTGATAGCTATTTCCATTTAGTTCACGTTATCCTGGGGCCTTTTGCTTGCTTACCTCATCTACCACTCCCTCGCTTGATTGTTGTAAAATCTCTCCCTCCCCTGTCATTCCTAGTTTAAAGTTGCTTTTACTGAGTTGGCAAGTGTCATGGCAAAGATACTTTTGCTGGATTTAGTCAGAAGATTCTGTCTCTTCCAAACAGCTGTCAATCCTCAGAGGGTCACATGGTCATAAAACAAAGCTCTGCTGTTGATACCTGCTGTGCGGTCAATTGTTGGCCCACAGGATATACCCAATCTTCCTCATGCCCTTCCCCTTCCTCAGCAGGATCAAGGAGGAAAACCACCTGGGCCCTTATGCCCTTAACCATCACCCCCAGAGCCATGTCACACTTGATACTTTCCAGGTCACCCCTGGCAGCTGCTAAGCTTGTATGGAGTTATTTATGTGGGGTTATGATTCACTCATTTGAAACTTTTTTTAAAAAATCACAAATTCAGGATGATGTCCTACTATCAGCTTAACAGCCATCAGATAGGTACCAGATCTGGCTTGGCAGTGGGGAGGAACTATGTGACCTGAACAAGGGGAGCTGGAGGCCCCCCAGGGAGAAGCAGGTGAGCAAGACTGCTTCTGCCAGCAGTAGCAAAGCATTAGATTGGTTTTGCTCATTTGTATATTCACAGCCTTAGTGTGCTTCAAGTGATACTCTTTGAAATTGTATAGTTGCTACAATTCTTTTATAAATACATTCTTTTTTTTATTTACACTACTAATAGTTGATAGGGTCCACTGTTAGTGATGAAAAGCAGGACATTCAGAATTGTAGGAACCTTAATATTAAATAACTTTAAAATTCACAATGCATCTTGCTTTATTTTTTAATTGAAACATATAAGGTACTTATTTATAGATCACTCTCACTAATTTCTGAATTGTATGTTAGTAAAGTCATTGCACTTTTCTTGGCTAGTACTTCAGAGACTCACTATAAGCAGCAAACCAAATGTTCATTCTAACTATGATCAGCAGTCGCTGTAAGCTCTTTAATACCACATATTTCAGATGCAGAACATCAGCTACAAGTAAGTCAAACAATTCTGGAATGTGTCCTGTGGAGGATATTGCTTAACCCCAGCCGGCAGCTAAGCACCACATAGCTGCTCGCTTACTCCCCGCCAGTGAGATGGGGGAGAGAATCGGAGGAGTAAAAGTGAGAAAACTCATGGTTTGAGGTAAAAACAGTTTAACAGGTAAAGCAAAACCCATGTGCACAAGCAAAGCAAAACAAGGAATTCATTCACCACTTCCCATGGGCAGGCAGGTGCTCAGCCATCTCCAGGAAAGCAGGGCTCCATCACGCATAATGATGACTTGGGAAGACAAATGCCATCACTCCGAATGTCCACTGCTTCCTTCTTCTTCCCCCAGCTTTATATGCTCAGCATGACATAACATGGTCTGGGATATCCCTTTGGTCAGTTGGGGTCAGCTGTCCCAGCTGTGTCCCCTCCCAACTTCTTGTGCACCTCCAGCCTCCTTGCTGGTGGGGTGGGGTGGGGTGAGAAGCACAAAAGGCCTTGGCTCTGTGTAAGCACTGCTAGGCAGTAACTAGCACATCCCTGGGTTATCATCAACACTGTTTTCAGCACAAATCCAAAACATAGCCCCATACCAGCTACTATGAAGAAAATAAACTCTATCCCAGCCAAAACCAGCACAAAAATTGAAGAGGGTAAATGATTCTTAAAGATTTAATAAAGCTGCTTTATACAAAGAATTTCAGAGGAAATGTACTAGTTATGAACATTGAAGAGGGGAGTGTGTGTATATATGCCTATCTAATGTGTTTGTATACTGTAGAATATGTTTCTGATTTTATAAACAATAAATTCTAAGATTGAACAGAAGCCCTAGACCCTGCTTTATAATTTAAAAAGCCTGTGTAGAAAATCCTGGGAAAATCATAGCTCTAAAACAATTGGTCTGTTTCGAAAATGCTTTTGGAGGTCTATGTCAAACCCGTAATTCTCTCAGAAATGATTGCATTTAGTCACAGGAAACATTTCCTCATTGACTTTTGCTGTTAACAGAGGTAAAGAGTTTACATTTCCTAGAAGGATGTATGACTTTAATCTGCACATAGAAGAGGAAACATTTTAAATGTTTCAAGTTTCCAGTGTAGTAGTACAAATTTCAGAATGTTATAGATTAAACTTTTGAGACTTAAATCATCAAATTGAAGTTGCTAGCTAGTTACAAGTGGTCACTGGTTTAATGAGCTGCTATAATGATGATATATTTAAATTTTCTCACTCGCAGTAGTAGGAAAAAAGCAAAGATATATTGGTTTGACTCTGACTACTTTTGAACAGTATTTTAATGATTTCCATGTTGAATTGCTTTTGTGTAACGTGTTAGTTTATTAGTACAGACTCTGATATTTTTCAGTTTAGGAAGATAGTTTTCATTGTTTCTCACCTAAGTTTCTTTTTGAAGCCATCAAGGTTTCTTGATTAATGGAGTACTTCTCTAATGTTTAATAAAGAATAAGGGATTTTTTTAATGTTGAATAAATTTTTTTCCATGTTTTAATTTATTAATTTGTCAATTGGAAATTCTATTACTACCTTGCTAAAGCAAAATTTCAGTGTTTGATATTGTCAGTTAATGTTATCCCTCAAAATGTATGCACTTTAGGAGTTTTCAAATAGACAAACCCAACAAAACTCCATGAAATAAGAATGACCTTTAAGGTTTTCAGAAAAGGTCTATGTAGAACATAAGGGAAGAAACAGGTGTTGTGATTACATGCTTGAAATGCCATCAGTGTTCCTGATATTACAGTGTTGGAATTGTTTTGCAGTTCTGTCTATATAATCATTGGTGTGAAGGATTGAAGTATTTTAACTTTTCCACTAGAGACTGAAAATTCAACTTTGCCTCTACCAAATGAACAACATGAATTACACTTCCAGATGTCCTTCCTGTCAAATGGTTGATATTTGCAACAGGGTTTATAGAACATGTAGTGAATTATATGCAGAATCTGGAAAGAAGGGTGGGAGAACTTGATTTTTGGAAAATGGGAAAGTCTGAAAAACGGTTGAGGAAGGGCAAGTGGAAAGGACCCAGCTGCTTTGCCTTCCTTTTGTTTTTTTTCTGTTCTCACCCTAAGCTAAATTTTTATTGTATGTTTTAATCACAAGGACAAGTAGCATGATGTACTGCTGACCTATTACACTACTATTTATTTTTAAGTAGTTAAAGTTTCTGTGAAGAATCATAGTGAAGATGAACAATGTTTTGCACTGTAGTTTACGTTTGTTCCTTTTTCAGATACTGAATATCTCTTTGACCTTTGTTACCTTTATCTAAGTGTAAGAATGAAGTTTGGGTCTATTCGTGTTTTGCTTCACCTTCCTATGTTAGAAAACAGTTCTTAAAGGATTGAGGATGGAGCTTAGTGAACCGACAATTTGTTTGGGTCTTCCATGCATATAGAGTAATTCCTGAGACACAATGGAGTATTTTAATGGAGGTGAATAGACATTCTGAATTACAAGTATTTCATGTTGTGTTTGCAAGATGGGGGCTTATCTCTGAATTCAGGAGAGATACTTCTATCAGCTTCAGAAGGTGTTGGTCTTACTGGTATAGCTGTCTTCGAATGCATGCAAAATATTGTTTGATTGAATTGTTATCCCTGCATATGAAATGCAAACTGCGTAATCAGCCTCTGATCTTGGAAGTCTTCCAAATGAGACATTGAATTTAGATTGGTGTATTTGAGGCATGACAAGTCATGTCTTAAGTCAGGTCTTGAGGCTGCTGAATAATGGACAAGGCTTGAAGTAATTTACTCCAAGCTGAGTTTTTTTTTTTTCCCCAGTCAGTGGACCTGTTTTGTTTTTTTTCTTTCCTTGAAGACAGAAAATGTGAATGCAAAGTGTGGAAAACATTACCATTGTATTATTCTCACAGTAGTACATATTTGTAGGACTTTCTGTTATGTTGCTTTGTACCAATCAGAGTATTGTATAAGGTGCATGGACAAGTCAGTCTTGTATAAATGTCAAGACATCTGAACAATAAACGAGCAAGATGTTTAACTCACATTGAGTATGATTCTTGACTCCGGCCATTTTTCCCAACATTGCTTAAGTAGACTTGGAAGAGTAGAATAGGTTATTTTTAAACCACAGTTGTTATGACTGCTTGTAAGGTGTAGAGACATTTAAGAACCAGAACACTTTGGCATTTTGGGAGTATTGAAACATTTCTGTAAACTGAAATTGTAATAGTTATATCTTTAGGAATTTTGGTTTGAAATAAAGTATCTAACTCTTTTTTTGCTCTTAATATATTCTGAATGCTATTCCCCCCAAAATCTAGTTTGTTTATTTTAGTAAGTAAGCTTTTATTGAGGTTAGAATATTTAGTGTTCTTCCTCATAGTAAACACTCATGTAAATTAAAATGAATTATTTTTGTTAGGATTACTTACGAGTACAATTTTAATTTACTAACAACTTTAAGATTAAAACTATATAAATAACATTGCTTTGTTTCATTTGTATTTATTTTGCTTACCTTAGGTCGAGATTTGATATGCATACAGTCCATGGATGGGATGCTTATGTTGTTTGAACAGGAAAGCTATGCTTTTGGCCGTTTTTTACCTGGTTTTCTTCTGCCTGGTCCCTTGACTTACAACTCTCGGACAGATTCTTTCATTACAGTGTCTTCTTGTCGACAAGTTGAGAGTTACAAGTATGTGTTCATGTTCAGTAATTATAGTGTATTTTGGTGCTATCATTTAGTATGTAAACAAATTAAGTGATCATGTCTAATTTTTATTGCCTTTACTAATATTGTATCCAAAGCAGGTGATAGGTAGTTGCAGGAAAGAAGAAAAACAAAATGTTCTATATTGTTGAGTGATTACCATCTCTGTACAGTCATAGAAGAAAGCATACTGTGTGTCCTGAGGACTTTATGGTCCTATTTTATTTGGATAAAGGTGTTAAGTTTGCTAGTTTATCAAGGCACATCAGGTTGTCCTGCAAGTGCCAGGTTTTTCCCTGCTTCAGTCTAATCTGTGCTTTCAGTGTTGTCTGCACTATACTGCTTGAGCAAGATGTTCCTTCCAGTTATTTCAGTGGGATTTTTATTTTGATGCAAGTAGGTGTTAGTATGATGAATCTGTTCTGTTTTCAGAAAAGATTTGAGACAGGGCTTTGGCTTTTGTGATCATAGGATCCTCTCAAAGGAATGAGAGATGGTGGGGAGAGATGGAATCCACCTGACAAAGCTGCAGAGGAGGCTTATAAACCTCCTTGACTGCTAGACTGACAGATAGGTGCTAAATCTAGGATGTAAGTGATGGTATAGGGTATAAGGGTCAAATGCACCAAGGGGGATGCTTTCATAATACCTTCGAGGAAGTAGGATAAGTGGGGGCCCATATTAAGTGCATATTTTCAAACACTTACAGCCTTGGAAACAAAAAGGACTTGTGTGTGCAGTTAGAGATGTGACAGGGTAGCTTGCATGACTAAGGTGCTGTAAGTGACTCCAGGCTCTTCAGGAAGAAAAGACAGACGTGGGAGGATTTGTGTTCACCATGGAGGGAGCAGCTTGAATACATGGTGCTCTCTTACAGAGCCACCATGTTGAGAGTTTATTAAGCATTCATCTGTTTAGAATCAGATGAATGCTTGAGGAAGGGGATGTTGTGGTGGATGTCTGCTGTGAAGCCTTTTTTATACAAGAAGTTTCCTAATTGCAGGCCCTTGTTCTTATGGAGGACTAATGTCTGCTGGGAGGGCAACACAATGGACTTCAGCAATGTGGAAGGTTTCTGAGGTGTGTTAGGCAAAACTTTTTTTGATGCAGATGCTAGACAGCCTGGCTAGGGAAGATGCTTTGCTGAGTCCGCAACTCAGAAAGAAGAAAGAAATGTTTGGAGAAGTAATAGTCAGCATCTGCCGTTGAGTGTTGCAGACATTGGCTGCAGTGACCATGAGATGGTAGAGATTAAGATCCTGAGAGAAGTGAGGAAGATAAGCAGTGGACTAAAGACTGTAGATTTCAAGAGAACATACTTGGGCTTGTTCAAGAAACTGGTAGGCAGGATCCTGTGAGAGACTGCCCTGAGGGGCAAAAGGGCTCAGGAGAGCTGCCGAATCTTCATGGGTAACTGTCTCAAAGACTAAGAACAATCCATTTCAATGTTCAAGAAAATAAGAAGTAGCAGCAGGCAGCTTGACTGGACAGGTAGCTCCTGACTGAGTTCAAATGGAAAAAAGAAATGTATGAGATGGAAGTTAATACGGACTACTAAAGAGGAATATAAAATATCATGTGGGCATGCAGGGAATGGGATTGAGAAGATACAAGCTTGGTTAAAACTTCTACTGGCAGAGGGTCTGAAGAACAAGGACTTCCACAGATACCTCAGATGCAAAAAGGTAGATCCAGGAAATTGACCCAGTACTGAACAGATTGGGCAACATTAAGAAAGGTGTGAAAAGACCAAGGAACTTAATGCTTGCTTTGCCTCATCCTTTCTCCATTAAAACTGAAAAGGTCTGCTCTTATGCTTTTTGCATCTCTGTGCCTAGCAGTAAATTGGGGTGGTGTGGTGTTTGGGGTAGAGCTACTACCCATGATAAAAAAATGGATGAAAAATTGGCAGAGCTGTCAGGCTTACAGAGTAGTAGTTGTCTGCAGTTCTAACTAGCAGCCATAGATGAGTGATGTTCCTTAGGAGCTGATACTGGAGCCAGTATTTCTGTAACATCTTCATCCTGGACAATAGGACAGAATGCATGTCCTGAAATTCAAGGACAATGCCAAATTGTAGGAAGTGGCTAACATAAAGAGGGTAGAGCTACCATTCAGAGGAATCTCATCAAGCTGGAGGAATGGGCTGACAAGTATCTTTAAGGATTTTTTCAGACATAATCTTATTAAAGAAAATAAGAATGCCACTTTTTATAGATTATGCCTTGGGAATCTAATCTGGGGAATGTTAATCTAACACAATGCTTTGTCACACTACCCTGCTCTATCACTGAATTTCTCAAACAATACTCTTTTTTTATTATGCTGCTTAAGCTTGATCAGATGGTTTTTAGATTCTGGATATTGCATGAGCAGATTATAGACATTGTGTATTGTTTTCTTAACACAGGAGAAGATGTATATGTTGCAAGTAAAAGTAATTTAATAGAAAATTCATATTTTTCCTAAGAAAAAATTAGAATAGGATTTATTGTTATTGGTAATAAATAAATATTTTTTCTTTAAAATTATTATCTCATGCATTTTCATTATGTTTAGATTCTTGACTCTTACAACAAATGTGGCTAAAATCCTTCCTAAGTCTGTCACTGATTCACAAGTGTGCTGCCTTTATTGTAGGAAGGTGTAGTTTTAAAGGAACTCTTCGGTTATTGGTCTTTAGTGCCAAGTGTTAAGACACTGTGGTACTAATCTCTAGTGTGTGTGTAAACTATTAGGACATTAGAATAGAGTTAAGTAATCCTTCTAAAGTAAAGAAAATAGACATGGTAAGAAGAGAAGATGTTATTTTTATGGTATTAAACATTTTTTTTCTCATAGTAAATGAAAAATACAGCAGTTCTATCTAGTGTTTTTAGCAGAAAAAGTTGCCAAATTTCAAATTACCCATCTTCCTATAGCTCATACAGACCAATGCCTTCATATAAAAGCAGTATTTCCTGTGTTGATTCTGAATTCTTTCAAGGTCTAAAAGCAAAATGTGTCCTATTTAAATGATCGTATACTTCATGTGATGGCTGAATTGAGAGTTTATGTTGGTCATCTGTGGCTTGAGATTTTTGTGACGAAAGACTTGTATGCAGTATGTATGGTCAATCCATATTGCAGTTCAATGGGAGTTTGGTTTGAAAACTCTATTAGTCCCTGATTAGTTAATAAAATGACAATGTGCTAACCAAGACTATCAATAAAATATGGTGAAAAGAGAAAATTTTATTAGGTCAGAATCTGCAACTTCTCTTATAAAATGTGTTAAACTGAAAAAGGGAAGTGAATTTGTTCATATAGAGGACGCCTAAAGACATAATAATTGTACTAAAAGCAGCTTATTTAGTATTTTTAACTAGGTCATAGCATTCACCTTAAGCAATTAAATTTCTTACTCCAAGTGCATAGTTTACTTCTGTAAGTAACATAATTTTAGAAACTAAGAACCTTCAGTAGCGAGCACCACAATACATGCATCTGAAATGTGAGGGTTGCTGGTGTCTTCATTTTAAATCTATAACTTTGATAATATACAAAAATACATACTTTTATTTGTTAAATTGGAACATTCAGAATTGTGTTGGTTTGAGCTTAGGAGCTGATGGTACTCTATGACTTCCGGAATTGAATGCTATCTTTTTGGATAAGTTTTTTGCTGTTTTTTTGTTGTTGTTCTTGTTTATTTCACTTTTGTAGGAAATGTCAGTATTTTACAGATTACGTAATGTGCATACATGGGAAACAGGGTTGTTCAGTAAGTTAGGACACCAGCACAAATTCAGGAAAGAAATAGTTACAGAAAAGTCAGTGAGGACACAGTTTGAACATTGAGGCTTGCATAGGTGTAAATGAGGATGGATAGATGGTGTGGAGGTTTTAAGGTAGTTGACATCTTTGTTCTAATGTCTTCATTGCCAATTTTTCTTAGTATGGTTGGTTGGCAGTTACAAAATAATAAAAAAACCCCAAACCCACAAACCTCCCATCTATTGCAAGATGTGCCACCTACTGGTGCCAGTTTACTGTTATCTCTTGGATTGGAACCACTTAGTTTACTTAATGGATGTGCTTCAGAGTGTAACTATTAAATATAGCAGATTGTATTTCAGGGTAGCTCAGGAGGTTTTTTTTAAAGCTTAGTAAGAGCAAAAAAGTTTATTTTTTATTAGAATCCTATTTTCTCAATTTGATAATATGTTGGTTTCTTGCTTCTGTCTCTGTGGCCTAGATTTCTTTCCTGTAATATATTTAGCTGTTGAATTTATTTTAACACCAGATAAAATCTGAATAGAAATGTTTGTTTTCATTTCTGCCTTTACATTTAGCTGTTATCCTACAGTGATATTTACCTTAACACCTTTGCTCATAATAGATGTGTTGAAGTAGGCTTTCTAACAATCCTTTTAGACTGTGCTTTTACTGTGTATGTATACTCATAATATGATAATTATATTTTATTTTTTATTTAATGTAAGGATATTAACCACAAAGATATTTTTTTCCCACTTTTTTAAACTTCCTATAACAGATACCAAGTGCTGGCATTTGCGAAGGATGCTGATGAAAGACAAGAACCAGAACAGCAAAAACTTAGTTCTGGAAAAAGACTTGTGGTAAACCCAGTTTATTTTACATAACCTGTATGGTACACTGCATACATGTTAAAAAGACCAATGCTAAGTAACGAATGGAAACATTGTCTGCTGACAAAGGACCTGATCCAGTGGCCATTAAAGGGAATGGAAAGACTCCAGTAGATTTCCATTAAGATTTTTTTGGGCCTCAGTTGTTTAAGGCTGGGCCTTAAAACTTACTGTTGTTCTAAGGAGGAAAAAAAAAAAAAGATAGAACTCTGTACTGGAGATAACTGTTTTTAAGGCAGTCTTTGTAATGCAGAACCTAAACTGTAGTAAAATAGATAAATAGGTACACATGAAATAGTGGTCATGTTTTTAATTTAAGTCTGTTTGTGATTTGGTATTGGACTTACAAAATTAACCTCATTCTACTTGGGGAATCCTTTGTACTTAGAGAAAACTCAGCAGTGAAAAATGTTTCCATAGTCAGTATCCTGGACTCTTTTTGTCAAAAACCTGTGGATTCAATGGTATTCAGGAGGTCCCTGTGACTAAGTTTAATATTGGAGCTGCCTCCTATTAAGAGGAAGACAGTTTCATTCTCTGTGGTCCTGCAGTAGAATTGCTTGTCTGCTAAATATACTGTATAAAATGCTAGCTAGATTCAGCATATTTCAGGTATGACAGTAAACTATTGGGAGAGCATCTTCCTTCCAGTGGCTAATCATAGAATTTTTTCAAACTGTAAGTCAGGCAGAATCCTACATCTTGAATTAGGAGAAGACATAGTTTTTAAATAAGAAATTTGGAAGCTTTATCAGATATGCTGCAAATTAAATACATTTTTTTAATCTAAAATTAGAAGCATACATGGAGACAAATGTAATAAGCCTGGCTTTTTTTCCCTTTGACTTTTAAGACGGCACTTCCAGCTTCATATATCAGATATGCCAGTAAAGAATGCATTCTATGTTCTTTAAGCAAAATGATTGATACTGTTCATATAGGAAGTGCTGACAGTTAAACTTTGATTTTTTTTTTTTTACTCCATAAATACTGAATTTCTGTTTAACCACCTTGGCAGCAGTAAAAAGCAATTTTTGCATGTGTGAATGAGTTGAAATTTCTCAGAGGAGCTGAAGTAACAAACCAATGAAATGTATCAATAAGCAGTAGTGTTGTTTAAAGAAGTAACGATATAGGCAAGGCAGGATTTGTAAGTGATTGCTTATTATATCAGGGTATGTAGTTGGAAAAGTAAACAAGCTATGGTATACACAAACGTTCTTCAAATTGAAGGATGTACATTAGTGATTGCAAGCATGAGTATTGGCTTACAAACCTCAGACTTGTCTATTTTTCCTTTTACATGTATTGGTAGAATAAGTTACCACCTTTCACGCTAACCTTGCCCTTAATCTGGGGAGATATACAGAGGCAGATTTAAAAGATTCTAATATTCTGTTCTTGGATTTAATAGTTGAAGTATAAGGCATTTTCATTTTGAATGGGGTGTGTATTTTAAAATTTAAATATACTTAAATGAACTGCATAGCCGTCAATCATGATTATTTTAAAATGTGGATGTTTTTGCTGCTTCACTCGCAATAAGGAAAGTTACCAACTGCCTTTAAAATAAGAGGATAACTCTCAAAAAAAGACCTTGATTTTGCTTTTCTATCTATGTTAATGATATTCATGTAACTTGATGATTTCTGAGCCTTCTCCAAGTTTTGCCTTTAATATGCAGCTGTCAACTGATCTCTGGAGTATGTTTTTTCTTTTGAAGGTGGATTGGGTTTTAAACATCGGAGAGCAAGCACTGGATATATGCGTTGTCTCCTTTAATCAGGCAGTTTCTTCTGTTTTTGTGCTTGGTGAGAGAAACTTCTTTTGCCTTAAGGATAATGGGCAAATTCGATTTATGAAAAAGCTTGATTACAGTCCGAGTTGCTTCATTCCTTATTGTTCAGGTTTGTAAAAGGAAAATTCAACTTTACTTTAGCTTGGTTACTTTTACAGCTAAGATTATTTTTTTTTCACTGAATAAATATATTTTTCTGAATAAGCTGTTGATTTCTAGAAAATCCGTGGAATCATAATTCTCTTTTTGGATGAAGCAGGTTTATTTTCAAATGTTACTTAGTGTGAAGTCTCATAATTTTTAGAATCTAAATAAGTATTTTCTCATCACCAAATTGAGGTACTTGTCTAGTGTTTGAGTAAGTTTGCCCGGGCTACCAAAGCAACAAACATGAAAGAGTGAGAGATTTTGGAAGAGTAAACTAGTGTTTGAGGACCTTCTGTCATTTACTGATAGTTAAAAAAAAAGAAAATAAAGTTTACTGTTAGGAGATGAAACTAACTTATTATGTTGTGTGGAAGCAACTGGGTTAGACGTCACTATAGAACTACAGATTCTTAATACCTATTCTATATTAATGTTTCAAAAACTATCTGATAAATTTTTACACCATTTTTTATTTTAGACTTAAAATATCATTTTAGACTTTATGAATATGATTTTAACAATCTTCACATTTTATACTTTCTGATTTAAATTATATTATAAATAAACCCTATAAATGCATACATGTTTAATCAGTATTCACAAGTCAATGAATTAATGAAGAGTATAAGTAGCTGATATTTAACCAATGTGTATTTTGTCATATCTATCCTGGCATGCCAACATGGCAATTATGAGTCTTTGCTCATCATGTTTTAAATTACCAAACATGGCTGGCTAGAACCTTGGAAAGTTGTGGCATGTGTTGTGTAGTATGCAACTGAAATTGGTATCCATAATTAATCACATATGTCCTTGGTTATTGTCAATGTAACTTTCATAACTTTTGACACTGTAATTATATTAAATTCATTTATAACAAGTAATGGCTTAAAAGGAAAAGGAAAAAATAGTGTAATGATACAAGCCTCCAAGAAAAGTACTGGCTTTTGAAAATCTTTCATCCTAAAACTGATTTTATATCTTTGACAGTGGAAGAAGGAACAATAAACACTCTAATTGGAAACCATGGTAAAATGTTGAATGTTTATCAAGATGTTACACTGAAATGGGCCACTCAACTTCCCCACATTCCTGTATCAGTGAAAGTAGCAAATTTACAGTAAGTAACTTGTTAAAGTTTACTTTTTTCAGATTAATTTCCCGTTGTGAAATTTGCTTCTAGATCCTATTAAACACTTCTGAGGTATGTAACAAAGTGACTTGTAAAAGGAAAATTCAGCGTTTTTTCTTTGTTTTGTAAAATATTAATTTCATTAATGAGCATACTGTTAATTGTAGAAGAATACTAGAATTGCTATACTGTGCTTTAGATTTTCGTTTTTTCTTGAGTGAAGGTAGAACCTGGGCTCTACTCCACTCCAGTGGAGTAGTTTCTTCTTTAAAAGAATGAAAAGTGAAGCTTTGCAGTCTGGTAAGATCCTTCCCTGAGACAGGAAAATAGGGAATCTCACTGGAAATCTGTTCTTCATTAAGCATTTAAGAGCATATGAATTCCAGAGATGATTTGTTGGAACAGATTATTACACTCCAATGTTAAACTGTAGAAATTAAGGAACTGTTTAAATTGCTGAGGATTGTACTGCAACAGACCAAAACTTTCTTTAAAATACACAGACAGGTCAGGGAAAAACTGGCTGGGCAGAGAGATCAAGTGTAGAGAAATTGCGACATACTGATAACTTGTGCTGAGTCTGTCACTGAAATCAGCAAACTACAGAAAAGTTCAGCTAGTGTTTTTAGAATCCATCTTATGCCTGTACTGTGTGCCACCAGAGCTGTGGTGAGTGCTGGCTGCCCGATGCCTGTGACCGTATGCGATGCAGTAGGAGTGGCCTTGTCAGGAAGATAATTTCTGATCCCCAGCAGGTTTGTGGCTGCTGTGCCAACATACACTGGATTGTTGAATACTTGATCATAAGTCACGCGTTTTATCTCGTAACAAATGAAAATGCAACATCTGACTAGCTAGCTTTACTGACTTCTGCAGAGTAATCTGAGGGATGTTTGTGTTGTGTTTGATACTAGTGGTTACTTAATGATTTTTTAATAATTTAGAATTTAAATTTTTTTTAGACTCTCTGGAGAGAGTTGTGCTGGCTTTCATCCAACAGGTCTTACAAGTAAAATATAATGAATAGTGTCAGTGGGCCAGTTAGTATAAACCAAAAGTTAATTATGCAGGATATGACAGTACATCTTTTGAAGTTCAGAAAAATATTTGTGTCAGAAAAAATTAGAAAAAGGCATTGATTTTTACAACAGTGGATTGTACTGACATTTGTATGTACCATTATTTGTTTGGAAACTCGTATTATTGAACCATCTATTTCAATAATGCCTCTAAGAAGTGTATGCAGATTCTGACTGTTCCATGTGAACTTTAACACTCAGTAGTTTGATCTTAGTGAGAATTTTGAGAGCCTACTTTTGTATGATTTGTCCCAGATCATTTTGCTAGTTAGATTTGGAATTCCTGCAGACCTACTAATGATAGGGTTTGGTTTGGGGTTTTGTTCTGTAGAGGGTGGAGAGACAGCAATCTAGTTATACAAACTTCTTTATAAACTTTATACAACTGCTGGTAAATGAAGGAATGTCTTTGTGTCTAGACCCAATGGCCTGAAAGGCAGGGAGAAGTCTAGGGCATATGTGTTTCAGAACTATGCTTCTGTCTTTCTCTTTAAAAATATGTGGTATGCTTGTACTTCTTTCTGACATTAAAAATAAAGATGGGCTAAACAGCAAAAACTGTGGTAAAGATTATAGAGGTAGTAATTTGGCTGAAACAAAACATATATTTTTTCTAAAATAAAAAAATAAATTTGAAAGGGAATTCTTTGCAAGCCAATGTGATAATTATTTTCTAATACTCCACTCAAGAGAGGTCTCAGTCTCAATTGGGGCCTCTGGGCACTACTGTAACATAAATAATATTAAGTACTTTAATAAGCATAGAGTTGTTAATCCTACACTGCTGAGAGATTAAAGTGCCTTAAATATGACATATGTCAATTAATTACTTTCACATCCTTTCCACTTTTATTGCAATAATACTTACAAAGTAAATGGAGTGTTCTGAAAACAGTTGTCTCGACAGATCATATATATTCATCTGTATTTTTTTGTTGGCATAATGTCTATTATTTCTAATGTAATAGCTCCGGCTTGCTGGATAAGAAAAGCATTATTAGAAGCTATTTCATATAAATGCCTTGGGGCAGGGGTAGTGATTGCTTCATAAAGGCAGTCATATACTTTATCCTATAATCTTGATAGTCTACTTCTAAGATCAACTGTTCAAGTGCTTCGGAGAATTCCAGCTAAGTAACTTGTGTTTCTAGTGTGTGCCTCTCCTTATTCTTTATGAATTGATTTTTCCTCTTACAATAATGTGAAATGCAGTATTTTCCTATTGCAATACCAGTAATGTAAATAATGATAATAACACACTACAACATGCATAAACTGCATGATTTCCATCACATTTTTAGAAACATGCAAGGAAAAATGAATCAAAGGTAAGTGGTTACTTACAACATTTTTTGTGAGGTGTCTCTGCTCTCTAGAAGTGATGTATTTTTAAGCCGTTTAACTACACTTTTTTGCCTTCTCTTAAAACCTGAATGCTCTCTGTCAGGAAGTTGAGAATTTCCTATAAAAGCTTCTGATCAGAAAATTGAACTACAGGCAAAAATTTGAGAGTTTATCTCATTCTGGGTTTTACCTGAAGATCTCTATAACTATGATCACTGAACTGGAAGTTCAGTTGTAATCATTGTTATAGAAGTTTGTCCTTTATTTTGTTAGAAGTTTGTTTTCTGGTTCTGTTAATGTATAGTAGTTACTAACTGTTTATGACATTGTTTTAATGTCCAGGGTACTCCTTACACTGACAGTTTGGATTAATTTAAACTGCTTGAGACTTTGTCTCAGCACAAATTCATCTTCCCATTGATAAGCCTGCTTGGACAGTTATATTTTTGCATGCCCTGTGTTGTCATCCTTGAAGTTACAGCTGTGCAAAAGCATTCTCGCTGAAACTCCTGAAGGAAATGGTTTACGTGTTCTGCCTGAGTTGATTAAAAAACCCCAAACAAACCTGAAAAAAACAACAAAAAAACCTCTTCTAGAGTGGTTTGAAGAGAAACTGTACATATGCAGCAGTTAGAACAGCTGAAATCTGGGAAGTTACACAAAGGAATTACAAGAATTCCTACTCTCCTCAAATTTTCAGTGTCAAAATGGTAATTGTGAGCAGCAGTGTTTGCTTGGTATCCATCATTATTATATAAATATCTTCTCAGCATTGACTTCAAAGTCCATTCCCTTTTTTCTTGCCCTTTAGGTTTCCATTTTTCTGTTTCATCAGAGACCTCTTTTCTAAGACCTTCCTTGTACCTCCACATCTCCTTTGCCAGGGAAATTTCATGAGCATTATCTCTTATAATTCTCAATTCTATGAATTTGTCACTTTTTGATGCTTCTTGAGATGTATTAGATTTTTCTCTCTCTCTGTCTGCCCCCCTCATAATTCAGGTAATTGTGTGGGGAACAAGCCCATAGGAATGTGGCTTCTATGTAGAGTTCCTATTAGCTAAAGTGCCTCATATGAAAGTAGTTTTTTTCCTGTTGGCAGGAATTTGAGCCTGTAAAGGCAAGTGACTTAATGCTCCCCCACGAAAAAGATGGGTTATGTTTGTCTGAATCATCTGAAATAACTTGTTCAGAAAGTAGCAGAAAGTCACTTTTTAAGGGCCTATCACAAGTCGTATTTGTTTTTCTGTGCCTGAATTGTCCTATCTCCATATGCTTTACCACAAAAGGTCCTTGGAGTAGAATAAAATACTTAGACAACTACTTTTCTATTTATTTGACACTAACTCACTTGGCAAAGCTGTTCCTAAGAGTACCATGTTTTAATAGCTGATTGATTGCACTATTACTCTGACCTGGCTGGCCTGAAACTAGAACGTTATGTTAAGGTGCATTCAGGCACAATAACACAAGTTGCTAGCCTAAAGGATGTTTCCATCACAAACATCTGAAATGCCACTGTGGGTTGGGTTAAAACCACATAGATAAGAGCATTATAGCTTGGATGTAGTCTCAGGAAAGGGATTTCTGCTTTGATCGCTTCCAAGTTAGAAACCTGTTTTTGCGTTAGGAAAGCGTGAAGCCTTTAAATCAGGGACTTTGTTTCTCTGAACATTTTTGAAGTTCACTAGTCTTAATTTTACTACTTGGTTTTGTTTGTACACAGTCTTCAAGTTATATCTGATAAGCCTGTGAATGCTGAAAGGTAGCCTGACTTTTTTCTTTTAAACTGAAATAGACTGCAAACTTCCCCAAATACCTCTTTTTTCAAGTCAGTATTTTGTGATGTCCCTAATTATGGTTCTTTGTGCTTTCAGCTATTGGCTAGAAATGAAGTCTGGTGTTATCTATATGGCAAAAAAATGTTGATTTAATGTAGAATTTATCAGCAGGCCCAGTTCTAGCAGTAAACCAGCCTTCTCTCAGGGTTTAGGTGATGTATTGTGGGAAAGATACTTCTTCCCTCTCTGTTTAATATATTGGGGACTCTTATTACTTTAGGCACCAGTTTGTCAGTAAACTTCATGTTTAAATGAAGGGTATTTTCACCTTCAGCCACATTGGAATTTGATTAGAAATACGCCAAGGAAAAAACTTTAGAGTCACCTGTAGTGCTTGTTTATAGGTAATCGGATGCTTTGCATATGTGGTGCCTCTTGCTTTTAGGAGCTACATCTGGGAGTTAGAATACAGGAACCAACTTTCTTTTGTGAGCCTTTATATGTACGACTATATCTGTGAGCAAGAGGACTGTTCTTCATGGAAGAAAGATTCTTGAAGCAAATAACCCACAAAATGCCGTGTATGCCTTGTAAAATGTGAAGTTCCTTTTAATTACAAGGGGTTGACAGGTATGGACAAGTTGGTGAAAATGACTAGAATATTTGCTATCACCTTCGTTTATTTGACAGATAAATATCATTTTACTTGGTAATGGAACAGCATGTTTTTTGAAGAGGAAATACAAAGCAGTCTGGAGAGTTTTTTTGTGCAGAAGTAATTTAT